AATTTCTTTAATTAGTTTTTATTTAGTTTTATCTATGTTTTTGTTTAAAGCTTCCTTCAATTACATTTCACTTGATCTTGGAAAATTTTGCAGCATTTCTATAGAAAACCCGCCAAAAATACAGAAAAGAATGTTCCTAACCAAAGAGGCTAGCACGCCCTAGGCGTGTTATCTAGCACCCCCATGCTGTGTTCAATTCAATAGAGGTTCAGAAGCTAGCACGCCCGCGCTACAAAAGGCTGTCGATCTTTGAGCGTGCTGACTACAGCACGGCCCGTGCTGCAACTACTTTGAAGTCCCCAGAGCCTAGCACGCGCAAGCCGTGCCAGAGAGCACCCCCTTGCCAAAAGTAACTGTTGATCTCTGAACATGTTCATCTAAGCACGGCCCATGCTGCAACCACCTTGGGGACTCATGCCCAAGCCGTGCCGGATAGCATGCCCGTGCTGAAGACTAGATTTTGCATTGGGCTGAGAACGTCAGTTCTAGCCCATGCCGTTGCATGGACCCACATGAGATACTTTTCTGACGTGCCAATCAAGTCTAAATGCTATTTAAACGCTGGAAGAGTCCTAATTTGAAAGAAATATAAAGCCTAAACAAAGAAATATAAAGCCTAAACAGTTTTTTATCTCAAAAAGATTTCTTACTCAATAGAGATCCACTTTCCTAAACAAACACGAAGATATTCCAGAAAGTCTATATCAAAAGAGAGACTAGCCATGATCGTTGGATGCCATTCATTGTATATTCCATCTCTTATTCTATTATTTTCTACACAGTTTTCTCTCTTCAAGACTTCAAGTCCTCAAGATTGGTGTCAAAATTCAAGGAAATCGTTCAAGCCTATCATTGACTAGTTTTTATTTCTAAACTCTCTTTTCGTTTATTATTCTTTATGGGTATTTACAAGTTTAAGTGAGTTTTATTTAATTGCTATGTCGAACTAAACTCTCATACTAGGGATTTGATGTAGCTTAATTTCGATTTCAATTTATAATATTAGATTTGCTTTTCTTTGCTCAAAGTATAATTTATTATTAAACTTAATACTTCAAAGCAAAGTTTATCTCCTTGATTGATTTATTTCATTAATCATTATTGGAAGAAGGGTTTTTTATATGAAACAGGTAATAAATTACATGAGAATAATGACTTGATGCAGAAGTTATATGGTTTGACTCATGGGGGTTTTCATAAGTTAACAACCTTATGTTACGAATTATAAACAAACCATAAAACTTAATAACTTAATTCATGTTTGATTGCGCTATTCGAAGATATGCAATTAGACTGGGTTAAATAGCTAACAATACATCGGGAGAGCTTGTTAGTGATTTTAGGGTTGTTTTCGCTACTTGAACAATTAAATTGATTATCAAACTAATAAAATAAATTGAATAGAATTAATGAAATCAAAATTCCCTCGTAACTTTTAATCCTTGCATTTCTTTTCATCAAATGTCTTGCTTGATTTATCTTTTTATTCTCTTATTATTTTTAATTTAATTTCTTAAAATAATTTCTCCTTATTGTCGTTTTAATAATAGTGGTGATTACAATTTTAGTAGTACTTGTTGTCTTGCTTGATTTCTTTTTATTCTCTTTTATTTTAATTTAATTTCTTAAAATAATTCTCCTTATTGTCGTTTAAATAATAGTAGGTTGATACAATTTTAGTACTTGGTATACAATCTTCATGGAATGATACTCTATTCATTCTTTATTACTTGTTGCGATATCGTGCACATGTGAAAAATCCTGTCAAATAGTAATATGGTTCGTAGTCCAAATTCAAAAATTATTTAGTTTGGTGGTCCTTTTCTTGGTAAGCAATCTTTTCAAACGAGTGAGGAAAATTATGCAAACTCTATGGATTTGCAGTTAATTGATGTGGGATTATTGACTGATCTTGTGGGCCAAAAAGAAAAAGAGGTTCTTCTTAAGTTAGATGATGGGAAGAAATGACTAGGAAAACAACTTCTTCAACTAATGCATATGTTGTTTCTACTCAAGTTGATTCGACAACCTAGCAACAATCTCCAACTTCAACGGCTAACCCTGCTTTGCATGATAGCCGGGTATTATGAAAATCATGAGTTAGAACTGTCGATGGCTTGGCAACCCTCAAACAGTTCATTTACTCAAGGATTTATCCTTGTCATATAGGTTGGATGTTGTTTTCTAATGGAAATGAAGTGTGCTCAATCTAAAATTAAAAAGGCGAAGAATTTTATAGGTTTTGACAATTGCTTTACAGTAGATTGTTTAGGCGCAATGGAGGCCTTGCATTAATTTGGAATAACTCTCCAATTTCAAATTATGCGTTGTTCCAGTAACTTTATAAACTGTTATATTCGTGTGGGTGGTTCGGATATCCGAATTACAGGATTATATGGATATCCGGAGGGTTCTCGGCATTGAAGTTCAGGGGATTTGATGCAGGCTCTTGCTAATTGAGATAATAAGCCATCGTTGCTATTTGGCGATTTAAACAATATCTCGTCTCATGATGAAAAACAAGGTAACATGATAGGCCATACTTTCTTATTCATGGTTTTCAAGCAGTAGAGGATTATGGTCTTTGGATATTCCTTCTATCGGGAATGTTTTACATGGTTCCAATGGCGCGACAATGTCATTACTTGTTGAGAGCATCTGGATAAAGATCTAGTATCAGATGATTTTCTTGCTTTGTTTCCTAATTGTTTCATTAAGACTCTGGCTTCACTAGTAAGTGATTCATATGCCTGTCATTTTAGACACTTTTTAGTCACATCCTATTATTCGAAGGTCTGTTTTCATATTTGATAATGAGTGGTTAAACTGATTATGATATTTCTTATGTGGTAAGGCATGGCTGGTCTGATTCGGGGTAGTCCGACTTAATTGGTAAAAAGACAGCTGCGACTTGATTTTCTTCGTGAGTGGGTCGTCATCGTAACAAGGAATTTCAGTCTCGCAAAGTTTACTTGCAACACTGCCTTGAGAATGACCATTCGAATTACAATGACAAAGATATTCTTATTCCAAACTAAATGGAATCATATCTTAAAGTAGGAGGATTTAAGGTTTTGACAACGGTCTAAGGCTTTTTGGCTCAGGTATGGTGACCAAAATTTTAAATATTTTCATGCCTCCATCCAATATAGTCGTAGAAATAATAGAATTATTGGTTTGCGTAATGATGATGCTTGGATTACATGTAAAGATGGTATTAAGTCCATTGTTTTGAACTATTGCCAATTTATGTTTACTGGAACTGTTACAAATCCAAGACAAATTGCTAGTTTGATTAATCAGAAATTTACAAATGCTAATAATGATTGCTTACTTGCTCCTTTTAAATTTGATGAGTTTAAAGATGCTCTTTTTTTAATTGCGTCCAAACAAATCTCCTAGTATGGATGGTTTGAATGCTGCTTTTGTCAGACGTTTTGGCATTTGATTGGTCTAGATATAGTAGCTGGTTGTGTTTAATGGTTGGAGAATGGTAGTTTCCCTCATTCTTTGACTGATACTCTGATAGTTCTAGTTCCTAAAATCATTAATCCAAAAAGAATGATTGATTTTCAAATTATTTCTTTTGTTAATGTTTTCTACAAAATTGTCTTGAAGGCGCTAGCTAATAGGCTAAAAAAGATTTTGCCATATATTGTATCTGATAACCAGTCAGCATTTGTTCTAGGTAGATTGATTTCTGACAATGTACTTATTGCTTTTGAGATGATTCATGCTTTGAAGAGAAGGACTTGGGGTGGTGAGGAGATAATTACTTTAAAAATTGATATAAGTAAAACCAATCATAGAGTAGAATGGGATTTTTTGAGGGCTATTGGGTTTAAATGATCGATGGGTAAACTAATTTATGATATGTGTTACTGATGTCTATTATTTTTTATCTGTAATGGGAAAATTATTGGTCTTATTACTCAAGAACATGGGATTAGACAAAGAGACCCTTTATCCATTTATTTAATTTTTTTTTTTCTTTGAGGTCGAAAAGCGGAAAAAAGGATTGGGTTCATGGTAATAGGGCAGGTGTGAGATGTCCAAGGTTATCACATCTCTTGTTTGTTGATGATAGCCTTTTCTTTTCTAAAGCTATAGAAATGAGATTGCCCGGGTTAAAGACATTTTGAGAGAATATGAGGAAGCTAGGAGTCGAACTATTAATTTCCCTAAGTTGGAAATTATATTTAGTCCTAATGTTAACCAAAGCCTTTAGGTCCACCACTTGCGGGAATTATAGGTTCATACCTTTTTAAGTGGTGGAAGATATTTAGGATTGTCTTCTTTAATTGGTCGAAGTAAAAAGCATGTATTTTCTTTTCTTAAGGATCGACTATGGGCTCAGATTAATAGTTAGAATAATAAATTGGTCTCTAGAAAAGGTCGAAAAATTCTTTTAAAATCTATTCCTCAAGCTCTTCCAACTTATGCTATGAGTGTATTCTTTTAAGAGAGAATGACAATTACTTTTTCAACCTTGAACTACTTCAACTTAATTTTGAAATCTAATTGTAATTGTATTCATTTGGTTAAAACTGAAATGAACAATAGCCCATTAACTCATCTTTGAATTTAATTCTATCAACATGGATATACTTATGACCAAATGAATATAATTACAACTAATTTTTAAATTAGACAAATTAATCTGAGCATGATTACAATTTCAAAATTGTACGAAATAAAATTTTCAGCACATTACAATTTTACGAAAAGGTTTAGTTTCGGACATTAATATTTTATAAGGATTAAAAAGTCATTCAACTTTAAAAAATTTAAACTTCTTATGCTTATAAATAAGAATTGAAGAATAAAATTTAACATCTCTAATGAACGATCAACAATTATTTAAATACATTTGAAGATGCACACCATGATATAGCATTTAGTAAATGCATATATGACTGGACAATAGATCCATATTCGAATCTCTTCTCCCCAATACTCGAAAGATACCTTGAAAGATAAAACATATTTTTAGATATTTATAAATGCATATCACAGTCAGAATGATTGCTATTCATACCTTACACCAATATAAAATTTCAAGCTTGCTAATGAAAGCTCAAATAGCTATTCCACCTCTTAACAATTTAGATAAAAAAGGCATGTTAAAAGCACAAATCTACAGATTTAACAACAAAATACAAGCTTGATTTATTGTTTAACATGGCAGTCTTAAAGTTGCACTATTTTCTTCATCTTACAGTGACAAAGCCATCATCTTATACATAACTTTTAGTGGATCATACACAGAGCAAGGAACTCGTCAGTTACTAGATGAAGCCTACCATCTTACACAATCCTTGCCCTTGTTTGCCCCATACAAACGAAAGAGGCTGAAAGCAGAGAGACAAGACAGAACGACCGTGCTAAGACCAACGAAAAAAGCACTTGCTATTCCCTCCCCAACTTGGTTGCAGAATTTTCCATACATATCGCATATCTTCATCCATTGTAGTTCAGGTTGTCCCAACTTTGCAAATGCTGCAGATTGTGCAGCAGCTGCAACAGCTGCCACTGTCAAGTACGCCATCACCTGCACAAATGGCCTAGTGTGTAAGAATGAGATGGCCATACCAAGTTATCACTAGATAATCTGCGTTTTTTTGGCTTGGAGATTTTCATTTATGATATTTGGATGGCATCCATTACTAAGAAAGAAAAGATTTAAGGAAAATAGAAGCATATGGAGTTGTGCATACTCTTATGGCTGTACAAAATGACTCAATATTCCAAGCCTAAGATAGTAAATGCAATTTCGTAAGATTCCTTAATGTTCTGAAGTTGAAATCTAAGATGAAAAGCAAAAATAACACAGAGCAGAGGAGCACACAATCTTGGACAAGTTGTTCATCAAGTGATGCAACTAAACCAAATGCTCAAGCAAGTGTAGTTGTGTCAAGGAAGCATCTAGCCTCGCTAATTCAAAAATTTTTGGCAATTTCTTCTGCAGATGCAAAAATCTGGATTAAGCGCAATAGATTATGAAAATTTGAAATCCTTTGTCATTAACATGAGTAAGATGTAGAGGATAATGGACCTATAATTAATGTAAATCATCAATTAACAGATTGAAGAAAGTATTTAGTTCAAACTTGTTTTGATCATATCTTGATGTAACAACAACAGTACCATTTTTACTTTGTTTTCGGCTTTTATTAATCAGCATGACAAAAAATCTACGTTTCTAGATGGGGCTGGCCTTTAAGATGGCCATGCCCTACCCTAATTGACCATGGCCCCTTCCCACCTTTCTCATTGGTTGGCCCCCCTGCTCCCCCTACCAAGAGAGCTAGACTAAGAGCATATTCTTGCATTAGTTTTGTATTAGACCACGCAACCCCAGAGGGACTCATCAATATCATATTCAGATCCATGGAACAGTCATGAGATACACATGATCATTAAATGTGTTGACAAAACATATGAATTTCTATTATACAAATCCGCTCAGTATTTATGCCACATGGCACATATCTAAGTCTAGGCTGTCCATTTATGACAAAAACTCAATCCTATTAATTTCTTCTGCCTGAGTGCAAAAGTAGCTGGCATGCATGGAGAACTCAAGAACACATATTATCCATCCAGGATGAATGAAAGATGGCTAATGTATAAAGAAATGGAAAGGAGTTCTAAAAAGCAATTGTAGCAATTGAAATTAATTATTGTTTCTAACAATATGCATGAGATACCGTTATCAAATCTCTACAGTAGTGGGCCTTCATAATAAATGTTTACTATCTTATTTTGACTTCATTTAGTGACAAGTTGGCAGAGGCGTACTGACAAACTGGTGACACTGGAACATTAAATATGTAACACCTAATAAGGAAGCAATAAGAGCCAGAGCCCTCACATATGGGAATGTGTTACAGCACCAGGTTATCAGTACGCAAATATTTAAAAAAAAAAAAAAAAAAAAAACATTTGGTGACACTGGAACATTTAAGATATGTAACACCTAATAAGAAGCAATAAGAGCCAGAGCCCTCACATATGGAATGTGTTACAGCGACCAGGTTATCAGTACGCAAATATTAAAAAAAAAAAAAAAAAAAAAAAAGACATTTTGTCAGGCTAAATTTAAAAAAAAAAAAAAAAAAAAGACATTTTGTCAGGCTAAACTGGAATCTAATCAGAAATACAGTCCAGTTTAAAGCCTTTTGTTGACCAGCCTTTCACCTAGTCAATACCAAGAAGAACCAGCAAACCATATGAACTAGAAAAACCAATAATGCCGAGTTTAATCAAAGTTATGCAGTAATGACTTAACAGCTCAAAAAGTACAATAAGAAATTGAAAGAGCTCTACTTTCTCGCTTTACCTTTTTTTTGCTTATGATGGATGTGTTACAAATTTTCTTTTACTATTTATACAGCTTTATCCTAATCCTTTTTCTTAAATTTTAAAGATAGAATTATAATTATGACATATCATATTGTTTAAACCTCTAGTTGAACTAGGTACTAGTCATGGAACCAAGTCAAGCTCTGATCAAGGTTTTGAAAACATTGTGATATTCCTTTATCTTACAAAACACATGATTACCACTTATCACTAAATACCCTGTTTAGAAGGTGGTATTCTATTCACTGATCTTAGATCTAACTCATCAAAGTTGAGTAATTTTCTGCATCTCTTAAGGAATGCAACTTAAGGCAGTAATAATAATTCTTGAATCTACTTCAAGTTTGGCAAGAAGTAACATTTCCTTATTTGCCACTCCAACAGTAAACATTAGGAATAATACCTTAATTAGCAAATAGAAATATAGCATTTTATTATAGCATTAACTTATCAAATAGACAAAATTAATACTGATAATTTATAACCATAATAGTTAGCAGCTGGCTAGTCACTGACATAACTTGACAAAGGACTAGAACACTCAAAGGAATTGCACAGGTTTGGGACATTAATGATATTGGACAGGTCAGCACCTACCCCATCCAGAAATAACTCCAAAGTAGGGCAGGATCAAAACAAAAGAAGAGTACAATTAATTCTAACTATTTACAATAGAACTCCAGCTGCACAAATTACATGCATATCTTGAGCAAAGAAGTGCTGGAGTTAGCTGAAAATGGTAGAGTCATCTCCAATATTGCCAGATTGGAAGATCAAACCCCAGTTTGAGCCAAATTAATCAATAAAAATAATAATAATAAATAATAAATAGTTTTTTTTTCTGATTTTCAAACGTAAAGAGACAACCATAGACCAAAAAACAAACACATAGAGAGCGTGAAGTAATCAATACCTGATCTCCGGAGAAGATGGCCCATGCTAAGGGCTTGTTGAAGAGCACACTTCCTCTAATCATACCCACAACACATCTTACCCCTTGAACCAAAGAATAGGCAGCAACTATTCCATTTGCAATCACCAAAAATCTGCAAAATAAAAATAAAATAAAATAATGAAGAAATTAGAGAAACTTTAGTAAAGAAAGACTTTTGGGAACCATTAATTTGCAGTTTCAAAGATCTTACACAAGAGCTTTCATATCAGTATATCTCGCTTTCTTTTGGATTGAAAAGATTTCTTTAACTTGGGTATCAGTAGCAACAAGAACAGCAGCAAGAACTCCTAAGCCACAGGTGACACACCTCAAAACAAGCTCAGCAAGCCTAACTCTCCTGTCTATCACCTTCACATTAGTGCCATGATATACTGCAACATTTCCAGGACTAACACCAACCCCCAAATAACTCATTTTAACGAACGCAAAAAATGTGACAAAGATAAAGAAAATAAGAAGCAAGCAAAACCCAAGAAATAGACAAAAACTCTCAAAAGCTTGAACCCATAAGGCCTCACACCTATGCAAGCATAAACCTTCGGTCCCCTTAAATAGGCAGCTCATGGGAGAATTTCTTTTTCACTTTTGTTTTTGTTTTCTTGTTTTTTTGTGTTTTTTTCCCTTTTTTTTTTTTCTTGGTCCTAAGTGATAGTGATATTACAAGCGGATTTTCATAGTTATGTGTAATTTACTTTTTCCTGTCTAATCAAGTCATATGTTTGGATTGGTGAAAAATATGAAAGAGGTGAATATTGGGGAGAAAAACAAATAAATTTACTCTATTTATTTATTGAATTATAGTTTGATCTTTATTTATTGCACTTTCATCATTCATAATTTCAACTTATAAAATCACTTTTCCTCTCTTATGTTTCTTTCACACAACCAACCATTAATAGGAAATTTTTTAACAATTTTTCCTCTTCCTTTTCCTTCAATATTTTCTTTCCTCCCTAATTTTTTATCCAAACTTAGTATTAAAGTGAGACTAAATACACTGCAATAAGAAAAATTAATAAATAACTATTGAATCCCTAAATTTGATCATAATCATAACTTTATCTCTTTTATTTGACAAGTATATTAATAGGTTTCTAAAATATTACCTCTATTCCATAATACTTGTCATATTTGAAATTTCACGTCCTTTAAAAAAACTATTAAATTTGTCAAAGCTCTAATAAATCATTAAGTAAATTGACTATATTTCCCTTAATTTAATACTAATTCTCTAAGAAAATCATGAAATTGAAGTAACAATTATTGGTCATATACAAAGGGTAAATATGGAAAAAAATATTTATTACTCCTTGAACCACAAATGTGACAAGTATTTTGGAGCAAACTATTTTCTCAAATGTGACAAGTATTATGGAACAGAGGTAATAGCAAGTTTTTAGTCGCATTAAATAAGTTGGTCTTTTACATTTAATATAATGTTACTGTTTATTACTTCCATTCCCAAATATTTGTCACATTTGAAATTTTTATCTAAGTTACAATAAATTATTGTATAAATTGACTATATTGCCCTTAATTTAATATATCCAAACACCAAATTTTTTAGGACTTGAAGAAATAATTGTTGGTCATATACAAAGGATAAAAATGGAAAAAAAAAATTTTTTTTATATGATACTTTCTCAAACATGACAAGTATTTAGAAACAGGAGTAGTAATTCCTCATATTTAATATAATGGGGGTAAATTTTGTTGTTCTGTATTTCTTAGTTATTTAGGTAGCTTTTTATAAAATGATAAAAACTAAATATTGCATGAGTTAACTTTTAATAAAATATTATTTTAATATCTAAAAATTAGTTTAATAGTTATGGTTGAAATCATTTTTATTGAAAGAATTTTATTTAAATAGTTTTAATTTTTAATTATCTGATGGTGAGTGTAATGGAGTTGGATGGTGGAAGCTGGTGAGGCTGCCAAATGGTCAAAAAGGCAGGATCAGTACATACAAAGGTCCATTTAATGAAAGCCTGACCATTGAAATTAAAACCCCATTGAAGAAGGAAAAACATGAGGCACTCTGGTTCTTGTTCTAGTAGTATTTTATTTCTAGGAAGAGGCAACTGATGCTTGCCCCAAGACAAGGATTAGATAAGGTGAGGCCATTGTTAATTCCTTTCTATACAAGTATTGAATGAAGGTTATGGAGCTTAGCTAGCTGAGATTTAATGATGGCCCATTTTGTGTCTAAATAAGTGTGAACTACAAAAACAAATTGTTTTCTTTTCTTCATAAGTAAAGTGATTAAGTTAGGACATCAAACATACGTCATGTTGATCAAATGATTGTGGTGGTGGGCCATTGTAAGGTAGGTAATGTGGTTGGTTTCCCATGTTAATTTGATGGAGTTTGAGGAGTGTCTCTTTTGCTCTTAGCCTAAGCCAGTATTTACATTTACGCGACAGTTTTTTTAAATAGATTTCAGCTGTTTAACATTTTGATGAGTTAAAATGTTAAACGTTGTTTTTAATAATATTCGATAATATAACGTTTGAATTAATTTTTAAAAGTTAAAGTAATATTTTATAAAAAGTTAATTCATATAAAGTTTAATTTTTATCATTTTATAAAAAATTATTAAAACAATTAATAGTTAAATGTTACTACAACAGCTAATAACTATCAAAATATCTAATTTTACTGAATAGACCCCTTAGTTGAGAAATGGGAAATTGAAAAGTAAATTTGGAAAAGTTTAACCATGAGATCATTTAGGGATGAAAAGGTTGGTTCATATGCAATCAAACTAGATGAATTAAAATCAAAAAAATTTTTATTTTTTTTAAATAAAATCGAATTCAATCAATTAACTTGTCTAAACAAATTAAATTGAAATAATTTTTTGTTTGATTTGATTTGATTTTTGAATTTTTATATTTTTTAATTTGGCAAAATGAAAACTAAGCTAAGTTTTAAAAAGTTTTATTATTTTTTTCTATTAAACTGAGATTCAATGAACGCATTAAAAATTAAATTAATCGATTCAGTTGGACTTTTTCAGTTGGATGGGTTTTACCCAATCTTAGATAAAATTAGGAATGACAATTTATCATGTTCAAAAAATTTAAAAAAAAAAAGAAATATTTTAATTATTAGAAAGTTCTTTTATCATATTTTAATCTTTAATTTAGCATTTAAAATTTTTTAGTCTTTTGATTACAGTCCAACATTTATTATAGTAAATGGATTTTCTACTTTTGCTAACTTAGAATTTAACAAAATATATAGAATAAATATTCACAAAAAAATATATAGAATAAATTATATTAGGATTGCAAAGATAAAAGAGATGGAAAAAACGACAATTGGTATAATCATACTATTACGTCAAGAGATTTTTTTTTTTTTTCTCTTTTTTAGGGAAAGGTTTTAAATAAAATAGAAAAATGTGATTTTTACTTATAAATTAAATTATCCAAGGTAAAGATTTTGAGATTTGATTGTATTTTTCAATTTTCAACAACCTGTTTCCTTTTTGTTTATTTATATTGTAGTTGGTAAAGGAAGAAAAAAAAAAGTTATTACAAAAATGAGTATAAGCTCACGAAAAGAATAATAGGGAAGTCTGGGAGAAGATGATGAAAACTCAACAGCATAAAAAAGCAGATTTTACAAGTCAATCGACACAAAAATTAGTTTTACAAAATAAAAGGATTATCCATATGTGTAATATCGCTTTGAGGGCTTCAATTTGATGAATTAACGAATTGTTTGGTAAATATATTGATTTTTTTTTTTTCATTCAAAGTGTCATTTTTCCCATTAAGTGCTATAAAAATAATAATAAAGAGAAACTAAATAGTAACATTATGTTGCACACCAAGACTTAGCTTAGTGGTAAGTGTATATACGACCTGACAATATATTCAAGTTCGAATGCCCTCCCCAATGCTCAAAAAAAATAGTAGCATTATGTTAAATGTGGAGAACTAAATAGAGAATATATTTAATTATAAAAATGCACCTTTTATGGAAAATTTAAATGTTTCGGGAAGAATGAAGTTATAATAATCTATATATTGAAACAACCCATAATTTTATTTTCGAAACTTTTAAATTTTTAATAAATCAAAAATCAGGATTTTTGACTGTATGGGGCGCAAGTACTATATAACCTTAATCCGCATCCAAATTCGCGAGTTGGGCCTAAGCCCAAAGTATAGTGTCGCAACTCCTAACTGAGGATTTTCTAAAATTCTAAAGAATTATATTGGACGATAAATATTAAATCAATTAAAATAAATCAATCGGACCCGTAAAACCAATTTGAATTTTCTGAAAACCAAGTGAAAAACTCGAAAACCAAACAAAAATCGAGGCAAATCATTGAATTGAGCCAAATCGGTTCGAATCGAACCGAAATGGCCCAGAAAATTCTAAAAACCATTTTCTTTTTTTTTTTCTTCTTCTTCTTCCCTCTTGAGCGAGGCAGGCGCGCCCCTCTCCTCCTCTCGTTTTTTCGATGACCAGAGACTCGCACCGCGCCTCCTCGCCGCAGCAGTTCGACCTTCCTTTTCCTTCTCTCCATTTCCATTTCTGGTGAGCGCAAAAGTCACAACGAAGCCGCGACTTCAGCCCGATCGACACAGTCGCGTCTTCGTCCTTCTCTCCAAGTAACTCCGGCGACGATCACTGAAAAGGAATTAGGAATTTTCTACGAGTTGGCCAAGGCTCTGCAATTTTCTCCGTAGAGCTATAAAAGTAAATTTCTAAATTTCTGTAGTTGATTAATTAATGTACTGTTACATAGAAAAATTTTATTACTCTTAGATATTATCAAACTCCGCAGTTGTAAGATATATGTATCCCTAGTGCATGTGTTACCGATAGCCCATATTATGACTATAGTGTATTACAAATTGGGCTGATTTATGAAGTGTTTAAAATGTTAAATTTGGAGCCGAAATATAGTGTAATTATGAGGTTTATTAGGCGTAGTAATATGGGCTAACTAAATTTAATCTCATATTATTTTTAAAAATATTAAAATAGAATCATGAGTTATACTATTAAATCTATCTTTTTGAATAAATTAAGTGTCGTGAGTTTATTTAATGAATTTATAATTCTAGTTTTTATAGGTTTTTTTTAAAGAGGTAAGCTTTTATAGGTTGTTAAGTTGTAACTAAATAACCAATAATAAACAATAAATTGAGTTATAAATTTATAACATGATATATTGTATATTTTAATATTTATGTGAATTTTATCTAGTTTTTATAGGTTTTTTTTAAAGAGGTAAGCTTTTATAGGTTGTTAAGTTGTAACTAAATAACCAATAATAAACAATAAATTGAGTTATAAATTTATAACATGATATATTGTATATTTTAATATTTATGTGAATTTTATGTATTCATAGAATAAAATCGAACCTAAAATTAAAATTAAATAAAAACTTAAAATTAAATAAATATCCAATGGCAACTCAAATTACTTGTTGGCTGCAATTTTTAATTTAAAAAACGTTTAATTTCTAAATTTAAATGTTTACTTTTCTTCGATAATTTTTATAAAT